ATGGATTTGTGTTTCTTCAGTTGAAGAGAAATTACGCTATTATTTATGAACAGAGTGATGAAATTAAAATAAACATCGTAAACATAAATTGTAAAACAGAAAAAAAATTATTAACTTTTACCTGAAAAGCACCTTGTCCTTTCACAGCAATAAATAAGCATCCTCTTTCACCTTTAGGATTATTAAAATTTACAGGATAATTTGGACTTCCTATGACACTAAGATGAACAGCACCATCAATAATTAAAGACACTCCCACTGCGTATTGACCTTCCTCTCCACGAAGAAACCCATTAGTTCCATCAATCGGATCAAGAGTCCACATTCCTAAAACAAATTAATTTAAATGACGAAAAAATTACTAAATTGATTGTAATGCTAACTTCCAGTTGGGCCACCAGAGTAAGTTCCTCTATCAATAGCGTCTAATAGCTATTATCGGATTAAAATATAAATAATAATTAAATTAAATTAAATTATTAAAAAGTGATCAAACCTCTTTCTCATTCAAGGGAGTATCTAGCGCAGAGTTAACTAATGATAAAACTTTATCTCTCATTTCTTTTCCGCCATCTCCTTGCAAACCTTTTGAATCCTCCTCTCCTACAACAGGATCATTTGGAAAAGATTTATATAATATTGTGTTTACCACAGCTTGTGCACTAAAATCAGCAACTTTTTAAGTGTGAAATAAAAATAACATTAATTAGTGTATATTTTTAGATATACAGTGAAACCTCTCTAAGTGCACACCCTTAGGACCAGGCTATAGTGTGCATTTACAGAATTAGTATTTCTTCCTACTCTACTACAATTAATAGTATTACGAGTCTTTCCGATAACTAGGGATTGGAACCGCCTAAAATTTTTCCTAATTGTTTAATCGTTTAACTGTCTAATTGTTTAATTTGGCTTAAAAATTACTATTAAAAAAATTAATTTAGACATTTAGACATTTAGACAATCTAATTTAGACAAATTTTGACATTAGTAAAAATAATTTCGACTAACAACATTACTCATGACTAATATAATTCTGCCTGGAACTATGGAGTAATTTCTAAACGATAACCATGTTCGCCTTTTGTGTTAATTTATTATCCATCTCTTAACTAATATCTGACAAATTTACCATTTTATTGGTAAACCGTTAATTTTAGTCACGTGAGTGCATTTATAGAGGGTGCACGTATAGGTCCGGACTGTAAAATCCTATGCACGTGCAGAGGTTAGAGGGTGCACTTAGCATTAAGTCCCAGGCTTGGGACCAGGCTTTAATGTGCACTTAAAGAGGGTGTGCATTTAGGAAGGGTGCACTTGAGAGGTTTTACTGTAAATATAAATAAATTCAAAGATTTACTTAATTACTTGTTACAGGTGTTTTATCCTTTTTAATAAGAGTATCACTCGTTACAAGGTTATTAAAAACACTTTGGCAAACTTTACTAGCACTCAAAACTGCGTCAATTGCAACAGCTCGCTCAGCAGCTAAAGCTATTACAAGAAATTAATTTTTTTTTTTAATTTACAAACGATTTCTGATAAATAAACTCTAAATTTTAAATTATAACTTACCTGACATGATGTAATCAAAGTGTTTAAAAAACAAATATTCATGAAAAAAATGAAAGAATCAATATTTATACGTAATCCTCTGGGAATTATTGTGCGTTTACCAAAATTCTTTATTAAGCATCCATGTAAACTTTGTCACATAAACATTGTTTATTAAAAATCTTAATTAGTCCTTATTATAATAGCTTTGTCTAGGATTGTCAGTGGAATAACATACTCCAGAACAAACCGAGTTACGTCCCAATTTAAAATTGGAGCGATGTTATGACAAGGAAGAGACATTTCAATCGTAATGCCAATAAATATTTATTGATAGCGAAAAACACTTTTGAGGTACGCAAGTCAAAGAATTTATTTGATAAGGGAGCTCAAGTCAAAAAATGTACGGTGCAAGAAATCTAAAAACCACAATCTCCTTATAGAGACAAGTATAAACAAGTTATTTTCTAATTATTAGCA